TTACCTGGCAGCCAAATCAGCCTGCAGTCTGGACAAGAGACATGGTGAAATGTTGAAGAAAACTGAACTGTGACATTTGAAGAGAATATCATATTTTCAGAGACTTATTAGAGCAACATTGGTATCTGAGCATCCATGATCTGCTTTCTCTGAATAACAACACAAGTATTATCAACATGAGTATTCATTCTAAGTGAGAACTAATTAGACCAGACTTGGAAGAGGGCAAGTCAGCTTGGTTTAAGCATCTGGTAAGCAAACGCAAACATTTCTAAAGGGACAAAGCATCACTTTTAAACAACTCCAGTCTTTTTTTAGTAGCCACTTAACCACAAACCCTTGCCAAAATTAGTGTTTATATTAATTTATTGCATTTTTTTACAGATAAATCTGCCCATTAACCCCATTCACGCCATTCCATGCCGTCCCCATTATAATCGACTTTAAAACCGTGGCAGCGGCATGGAACGCTGTAACGGCTTTCAGCCTCTGGAGGTCCACGGTACTTAACTCCACAGTGATCTGCTTTGGGGTGACTGCCTGACAGCCCAGGCAATCCCCTTCTGCCAAATCAGGCCGCCTAGGACCATGTGATAGCTCCACTGTAGCGTGAGAGCTAGCCAACTTTTGTGGCAGAAGCAAAAGAAAATAGGGCTTTCCACACACCGTCTATGACATAATGTCAGTACACAGTACTCACCTTTAGACATTTTGGAAAAAATTGGACAAGTGGAAGTTAATCCTACGTTTTTCATTGGCATTGACTCCCACTGTGATGTGATGATTGGACAGTAATATGGCAGCTAGTGGCAGTTCTTCCATTTCAATTCCATTTAGGGACATAACAGACAATTTGAGCTACCATAATGCTAGTTGTTCACTCACCTCATAAACATGATAAATCCCTTCCTGGAAACAGGGATTTAATTCCTTGCAATATGTTAGAGACTGGAAGCAGTGGTCAGGACTCTGTCAGGATTACTAGTTGATCCAGCACGTAGAATTGTGTCACACAGATGACTAACAGGTTATATATTACTGGGCCTTAGAATTGCCAGTCTTAACGTACCAAAGAGTAGTCAGGATACTTGCCGAGGTCAGGGGATACAGAAAGAGACCCAACGATAAGGGAAAGCCAGAAGTCAGGGATACCAGAATACAGGGAAGTCAAAATCAAAGCCAAAGTCAAAAACCAGAAGAAACTTGAATCAGGAAGGCGCTCTCAGACAACCACTAGGGAAACCACGACAGGGCACTGAGCAGGATGAGAACTGTGCATAAATACCCCTCCACTGGATCTGATAGGCTGTAATCAGCCTTTGACACCAAAGGCAGTTATCAAGTTTCCATTTGCATAATTGCTGCTCAGCACAAACCCTCATGTGGATTTGATTGCTGCTCGGCACAACTTTTCCTGTCAGGACAGTTATGTTGCTCAGCATAACTTTTCCTCTCAGAGCAGTAAATGTCATTAATCACAATTTTATATGTGGATGAATACGTGACAGAATCTAAAAGATCTACTCGATGGTCATCTGAGTGAACTAATTGATAAGTGATGCTAGCTTCCCTGTGTTTTTCTAGCATCAAGGGCGAAGTGGCACACCAGTCCTACAGCTTGACATACTGTATGGACAGACATATGAACATGCTACGTAGCGAAAGATAGACATGCTGGTTGAAAAAGATGTGTGCATTGAACCTATCATGTTGCCATTGTTTACTACTCCCAGCAGTAGTGTTCACATCATAACCCCAAGACAGCAGAGCCTCTTACTGAGGCTCTGCTGTCTTGAGGATGCGCTTCTCCATTCCTCTCGCCCCACCACTTGCCTGCTCGATCCTGTCCCGTTCCACCTCATCAGATCTCTCTCCCCTTGTCTCTCTTCTGGCACTGTTCCTGCTGACCTTAAACATGCCACTGTAGTACCTATCCTGAAAAAAACATCTCTTGACCCATACTTCCCCTCTAACTATCGTCCAATATCCCTGCTCCCTTTCTCATCAAAGCTTTTGGAAAGACTTGTCTTTACCCGTGTGTCTCGCTTCCTCAATTCCAACTCTCTCCTTGACCCTCTTCAGTCTGGCTTCCGCCCTCTCCACTCTACTGAGACTGCTCTCATCAAAGTCACTAATGACCTAATCGCAGCTAAATCCAAAGGTCACTACTCCATATTAATTCTCCTTGACCTCTCTGCTGCCTTTGACACCGTTGATCATGCTCTCCTCCTTCAAACTCTTCAATCGCTCGGTCTCTGTGACTCTGTCCTCTCTTGGTTTTCCTCCTATCTCTCCCAATGCTCATTCAGTGTCTCCTTTTCCAAGCATACCTCCTCCCCTCGCCCTGTCTCGGTTGGAGTTCCCCAAGGCTCTGTCCTTGGTCCCCTTCTATTTTCTCTTTATACTGCCTCTCTTGGCAAGCTTATTGCCTCTTTTGGATTCAACTACCACCTGTACGCTGATGACACTCAGATATACCTCTCCTCCCCGGACCTCTACCCTGCCGTCCTGCAATGTGTCACTGCTTGCCTTTCTTCCATCTCTGACTGGATGTCTTCACGCTTTCTGAAACTCAACCTCTCTAAAACTGAACTCCTTGTCTTTCCTCCTCCTTATACTTATCCTCCTCTCTCGCTCTCCCTTCAAGTCAGTGATATCCACATAAGTCCATCCTTGCAAGCACGCTGTCTTGGCGTCATACTTGACTCTGGCCTGACCTTTGAGCCTCACATCCCGCTTGTTGCCAAATCCTGTAGGTTCCAACTCAAAAACACATCCGCCCCTTTCTTACGCAAGATGTGACCAAAGAGCTTGTCCATGCTCTAGTAATTTCCTGCATGGATTACTGTAACCCTCTCCTGATTGGTCTCCCCAAAAGCCGTATTGCCCCGCTACAGTCTGTAATGAATGCTGCAGCTAGACTGATTTTCCTCTCTAGTCGGTCCTCTCACACATCACCCCTCTGCCAGTCCTTACATTGGCTCCCTGTATCCTATAGGAGTCAATTCAAAGTGCTAACCCATACATTTAAAGCACTGAACAATTCTAGCCCCTCTTATATCTCCTCAATGATCCATAGGTATGCCCCTCCTCGTTCCCTCCGCTCTGCCCGTGACCACCTCCTGACCGCTGCTCGCACCCGTACGACCAACTCGTGCTTGCAGGACCTCTTGCGGGTGGCTCCTTTCCTATGGAATAGCCTGCCTACCGCCATCAGACTCTCCCCTAGTCTTCAATCATTTAAGAAGAGCCTTAAAACCCATCTCTTCAGGAAAGCTTATGGCCTCACAGAGTAACCTCTACCTTACATACCTGTCTCTTGCTCTCTCTACCCACTCCTCCAGCTCTGCTTCACTTCCACCTTATTTGATTGATATTTCCTGTCTTAATGTGTCTTATACCCCACCTCCTATAGACTGTAAGCTTGTTTGAGCAGGGTCCTCTTCAACCCATCGTTCCTGTAAGTTTTCTTGTAATTGTCCTATTTATAGTTAAATCCCTGTTGGCGCTATATAAATGGCAATAATAATAATAATAATAATAATAATAATAAGAGCAAGAGTGTGTGGCCTCCTCTGTGTCTGGTTTCCCAGCAGCTGTTAAAAATACTTGAGGAGCACAGCCATACAGATAAAAAATTACTTTATTAGTTGGGTCCAGTACGCTAGGTATCCCAAATTTATACCGAACAATATTAGCAATAATGTCAAAAAAATGCTCAATACAAAAAAGCGTACAAGATATGCAATTATCACATGTGTTCATAGAAAACAACCAAAAAAGTACAATAATGCTATTTAGCAGTATAGAGTCACAATGACACTTTAAACAAGCTACCCAACATACAAATACATACCAAAAAAGGGGTAACAATTGTCAGAAGTAGTGAGAAGAGGTAGGAAGTCAAAAACGTTTCGGCAGGCTTGCCTTTATCAAGGGACTATGATGTGAAAGTGAATAAACCCCTTAATATTCTCAAAAACAAAAACATCAATGCTAAACACCTGAGTAAAATGGATGGCCACCCACATTGATTGGGATCCTCCCAACCAGATTTACTCAATGCTCCCTTGGTTGTGCTCCTCATTTAATATTATTTATAGATTGTTTGGATATTTTGTTTCATATTTCCTCATGGTATTCAATTAGTGGGTCTGCCTTCTTAATTATATTGCATTCTCAGCAGCTATTGTCACATCCACTGAACACTGTCTAAAGTGAGTAGAGAGTTCTATTACATGGAACATTGTGAAGCTCCAAAAATCACAAATGTTTACACAACTGATGGAGAAAATAGCCTTCCTCAAGTTCAGTCTCACTGACTTGGGTTAATTTGCTGTTCAGTTTAAAACTTAAAGCGTCATCATTTGCAATCTGAGATCCAATTGACCACTCAACTCTCCCTTCAAAACTGGTTTAAAATTACTAACATATTCTTAGTTCTGGTGGTGAATAAAAAAGTTAAATCAAATTACATTTCACCTGATGCTTTTCCCCTTTTGCCAAATGCATTTCATTGTAGTGGTTTTGCCTTGCCTGTCTATACTCTCGTAATGCAGGATTCCTCCACAGATCCAGTGCAGATACAGGGAGAAGCTGACAGAGCACTGTTTTTTCCACTTTGAAGGGCGGTCACTAGTGATGTCCCGAACGGTTCGCTGACGAATAGTTCCGGCGAACATCGCTTGTTCGCGTTCGCCACGGATGGCGAACATATGCGCTGTTCGGTCCGCCCCCTATTCGTCATCATTGAGTAAACTTTGACCCTGTACCTCACAGTCAGCAGACACATTCCAGCCAATCAGCAGCAGACCCTCCCTCCCAGACCCTCCCACCTCCTTGACAGCATCCATTTTACATTTATTGTGAAGCTGCATTCTTATTGAGAGGAGGGACAGTATACGCTGTGAGCCTGACACACACGCTGGCAGACAACTAACTGCTATTCAATCTATTACAGTCAAAAACCGGGCAAGTGGGCACAGTATATGTTGTGAGCCTGACACACAGGCTGGCAGGCAGGCAACTGCAATTACATTACACAGAAAAAAAAAAGCAGACTGATGTTACAGCAGAGATCAGCTGCTGCTGATTTGATAGGGAAATTGATAGCTAGGCTAGTGTATTCAGTGTCCACTACAGTCCTGAAGGACTCATCTGATCTCTGCTGTAACATCAGTCTGCTTTTTTTTTTTCTGTGTAATGTAATTGCAGTTGCCTGCCTGCCAGCCTGTGTGTCAGGCTCACAGCATATACTGTGCCCACTTGCCCGGTGCCACCACTCACTCACTGGTGTCCCAATAGCTTGCATTTAAAAAAAACAAAACTTTTTGGACTGTAATATAATAGCAGTCAGTTTCCGTCACGTGTGTGCGTTTCAGGGCCTGCCAGGGCACAGTGTCACACCAGTGCAACTCATATCTGGTGTAACAGTAGTGTACATTTAAAAAAAAAAAAAATTTTTTGACTGTAATAGATTGAATAGCAGTTAGTTGTCTGCCAGCGTGTGTGTCAGGCTCACAGCGTATACTGTGCCCACTTGCCCAGTGCCACCACTCATATCTGGTGTCACAATAGCTTGAATTTAACAAAAAAATAACTTTTTGGACTGTAATATAATAGCAGTCAGTTTCCTTCACACGTGTGCGTTTCAGGGCCAGCCAGGGCACAGTGTCACACCAGTGCAACTCATATCTGGTGTAACAGTAGTGTACATTTAAAAAAAATAAAATACAATTTTGACTGTAATAGATTGAATAGCAGTTGTCTGCAAGCGTGTGTCAGGCCTACAGCATCTACTCTGCCAACTTTTGCCACTGCACAGTGCCACTCATATCTGTCACAGTAGCTTGCACGCATAGTACCACTAATCAAAAAAAAATGACAGGCAGAGGCAGGCCACCCCGCAGGGGCCGTCGTGGTCGTGGTGCTGTGATTCCCTTTGGCCCTAGAATAATGCCCAGTGTTCAGAGGCCACATACCCTGAACTCGAAAAGTTCTGAGGACATAGTTGACTGGCTAACACAGGACACCCAATCTTCTACAGCCTCCGCTCAGAACCTTGACGCACCATCCTCCTACAGCTTAGCTTCGGGCATCTCTCAAGTTACCACTCGCCCGCTTGCAGCCACCACCAACACTAGCACCACAGCAGCTTCACTTGGTATGTCAAAGGAGTTATTTACACATCAGTTGGAAGAAATGAGTAACGCGCAACCATTATTGCCAGAGGATGTAGATAACAGGGATATGTCTCAGTCAGGCAGCATTACACACATGGACGTATGATGTGATGATGTTGTACCCGCTGCTGCTTCCTTTGCTGAGTTGTCAGATACAAGTGAAGCGGTTGATGATGACGATGCGTCCGTGGATGTCACGTGGGTGCCCGCTAGAAGAGAAGAAGAAGAACAGGGGGAAAGTTCAGATGGGGAGACAGAGAGGAGGAGGAGGAGACGAGTTAGAAGCAGGGGGAGGTCATTGCAAGGAGCTAGTGGCACAGTCAGACAGCATGCATCAGCACCCGGGTCAGCCAGACAGCACGCCAATCAACGCATGCTGTTGCCACCACCAGAATGCAGTCATCGCAGAGCTCAGCTCTGCTGCTGCGTCTTGCTCCACATCAACGGCACCCCCCCAGCTCCCAGGTACTATTCCACATCCCGGATACGGCAGTGTCACGCCGTCTTGGGGTTGACTTGCCTGAAAGCAGAGAGTCACACCGGACCAGCACTCCTGTCCGCCCTGAACGCACAGGTGGATCAGTGGATGACTCTGCACCAACTGGAGATCGGCAAAGCGGTTTGTTACAATGGAAGAAATTTGTTGGCGGCATTGCATTTGGGCAAGTTGACACATGTGCCGTGCATGGCACATGTGTGTAATATGATTGTACAATGCTTTGTGCATAACTACCCAGGCATACAGGACGTCCTGAAGCAGGCCAGGAAGGTGTGTGGCCATTTCAGGCGTTCCTACATGGCCATGGCGCACTTTTCAGATATCCAGTGGCAAAAAACATGCCAGTGAGGCGCTTGATTTGCGACAGCCCGACACGTTGGAATTCAACACTCCTAATGTTCGACCTCCTGCTCCAAAAAGAAAAAGCTGTTAACGAGTATTCGTATGACCGGGGTGCTAGGACAGCCTCTGCGGAGCTGGGAATTTTTTTGCCACGTTACTGGATGCTCATGCGCAATGCGTGTAGGCTTATGCATCCTTTTGAGGAGGTGACAAACCTAGTCAGTCGCACCGAAGGCACCATTAGCGACATCATACCATTTGTTTTCTTCATAGATGAGTGTGAAGAGGAAACACCAGAAACAGCCTTATCAGCATCGCTTGCTGGACCTGCGGCAACGCTGGAAGAGGATTGTGAGGAAGAGGAGTCAGAGGAGGAATGTGGCTTTGAGGAGGAGGAGGAAAACTAACCACAACAGGCATCCCAGGGTGCTCGTTGTCACCTATCTGGTACCCGTGGTGTTGTACGTGGCTGGGGGGAAGAACATACCTTCAGTGAGATCACTGAGGACGAGGAACAGGACATGAGTAGCTCGGTATCCAACCTTGTGCAAATGGGGTCTTTCATGCTGTCGTGCCTGTTGAGGGACCATCGTATAAAAAGGCTGAAGGAGAACTACCTGTACTGGGTGTCCACGCTACTAGACCCACGGTATAAGCAGAAAGTGCCTGAAATGTTACCGAATTACAGCAAGTCATAAAGGATGCAGCAGTTCTAAAATCAATTAAAAAGTATGCTTTACACAGCGTATAAGGGTGATGTCACAGCACAACGGGAATCTAACAGGGGAAGAGGTGAAAGTAATCCTCCTCCTCCCATGACCATGCCGGCAAGGACAGGACGCTTTAGAGACGTGTTGTTGATGGAGGACATACGGACCTTTTTAAGTCCTACGCATCGCCACAGCCCTTCGGGTCCACCCTCAGAGAACGACTCGACCGACAGGTAGCAGACTACCTCGCCTTAACTGCAGATATCGACACTCTGAGGAGCGATGAACCCCTTGACTACTGGGTGTGCAGGCTTGACCTGTGGCCTGAGCTATCCCAATTTGCAATAGAACTTCTGGCCTGCCCCGCTTCAAGTATCCTGTCAGAAAGGACCTTCAGTGCAGCAGGAGGTATTGTCACTGAGAAGAGAAGTCGCTTAGGGCAAAAAAGTCTAGATTACCTCACCTTTATTAAGATGAATGAGGGATGGATCCCGAAGGGACTGACAGTGGGCGATACATTCGACTAAAAAAGGCCAGATGAGGCGGACGTAACAGGGTGTCGTGGCTGCCGGCCCGCCGCGTGATATTTAAATCCCAAGTTTACCACAGTACCTTGCCCTGTCGTGGTTTCCTGTTCCTGGTTTCCTGAGAGTGTTTTATCATTGTGAATCTGATTTCCTGGTATCCTGATCTTGGCTTTTCCCTGGTTATCCTGAATTCTGGTTTCACTGACTTGGGTTGTGTAAACGGTATTGTGTATTTTTTGGCTTCCTTGACCTCGGCTTTCCCTTTGACCATTCTCTGTCGCTAGCGTATTAGTCCGGCCATTCTAAGGTCTGGTTTACGCTCTGTCCTTTTATTTTCCTTTTCTTGCCTATGTATATGTTTACATAGTTTCTGCGTGCTGGACCACACTAGTAGTCGTGACATTGGGATTAAACTGATAAGAATAGTACTACTTAACACACCACTCCTATCTGGTGGCACATTAGATTGCACGCGCAGTGCCCCAAATTTGAAGTAGGAGGACCGACCAATAGTGATGTCGAGAAACCCGAAATTTTCGGTTCGCGAACGGCGAACGCGAACTTCCGCAAATGTTCGCGAACCGGCGAACCGCCCGAAACGCCATTGACTTCAATGGGGAGGCGAATTTTAAAACACACAGGGACTCTTTCTGGCCACAATAGGGATGGAAAAGTTGTTTCAAGGGGACTAACACCTGGACTGTGGCATGCCGGAGGGGGATCCATGGCAAAACTCCCATGGAAAATTACACAGTTGATACAGAGTCTGGTTTTAATCCATAAAGGGCAGAAATCACCTAACATTCCTAAATCACAATCAATATGGATTGACACCTGACATATGACATATTGACACCTTGACATATGGATTGACACCTGTCCTCAGAGCCCCTGATGCACACGGACACAGAGCAGAATAGAGACTGGTCCCCTACATAGGGTCACTTGGCAGATATGGATTGACACCTGTCCTAAGGATCCCTGATACACACTGACACAGAGCAGAATAGGGACTGTTCCCCCTACATCGGGTCACTTGGCAGATATGGATTGACACCTGTCCTAAGGTTCCTGATACACACTGACACAGAGC